CATCAGCTGTGCTCTTCAATTATATTTACTATATTTAGCCACTGCGACAAATCAAAAACCACAGATCAACTTCCTCTTTTTCTTGCACCCAAGCTGTTCTAATACTACTTTAGAAAAACTACTTCTAATACACTTTTTTGTTCTCTCTTAATTTAATGATAAAAAAATCCATTTTCAAATTTAACAAACACTAGCGAAAGACGTATAAAACTTGCGCCATTTAAATAATTTTAGAGGCACAGTATATAAGTTGCACGGAGAGGAAGTAAAGAGCGGCCGCGACGCGGGAACGTCGGTGCCGTACTGCCCCGGTCTGCGACTACTGCCAACTACACGCGGTACACGCGGTGCAAAAGCTTCGCTCGAGCGACTGATGCGGCGCTGCTGCCGCTGGTGTACGGAGCAAAGCTGTGACGTGTGCGTGCACCCAGTATACGAATAAATAAACAGGTAGGCGGGGTTGGGAAGACAAATTGGTGATTGTTTTGCCCCCTAGGATCTTTTTTTTTTTTTTTCTCTTTTTTTACTATGACTCATCTTGCGATTGTTGTTAGGTTCGAGGAGAGAAAAAGAGAGAGAGTCACCCTAATGACCATCCTCGGAATTAGCAGTGGTTGTAATGGTAAAAATTATGATTTCGAAACTTTTTGCACAGAGGCTTTTGTCTTGCTGAATTTTTATGGGGCGCGACGTCGACGCTGTTGTTTGAGATTTTCCATTGAGAAAGTCCATTCAGAGTGACACTTTTGGGTGTGCTAATCGTTTCTCGGTGCAATCATTACTTACATTGGTTGAGCTCCAAACAGCGGAAAAATGGTCTTGTTTGATAATTTTCAGGAATCGGAAGAACATTTATTTAGAATTACTAGACATAAAAATACTAAGACATATACGCCTGTTGGTATTTATTTTTATTTTGTTCGTTTGATAAGTCTGATGAACAAATGAAAATAAACATTACGTAATCGTAATCCGACGTAATCGTAAGATTAAAAGCTCTTAGCACGTATGGTATTAACACTCAAGTACAGTGTCACCAAGAAAACAAGAGAGACATTGAGATTCTAGAACCATTAAGTCATCAATCATTCTTGGACCTTAAACAAAAAAAGTTACATCCACAACAACGAATTCAAGATTTTTCATTTCCACCAAAACGGAAATTGAAATGCTAATAAATATAAATTTTACTCTTATCAACAAGTCAAATAAACAAGTAAATTAGTACGATTTTCGAATACCAATCAATTAAATTACCTTGCACTATGAATATCATTGAAACTATAGTTAATTACTATCAGTTAAAAAAAACATCAATACAAAAAACATTAAGAAAAGCGTTTTATTAATAATCAGTTGATTTTTCAGTACAGTAGGGATATTACTCTGAATATGACAAGCACTACTTGTTAAAAAAAACTTTTCTCGGTGTATCCGTACATGCGGACAAGTTCTATATAAACCTTAAAAAAACAATTTAGTGTTATCGACTTCAAAGACCATCTTATTTCGAAATTAATTTTCTCTCGTACTATCCATCATGAAAGTGCATATCACAGCACACAGAACTATATAGCCACGTAAACCAGGACAAGACGCATTGCACGAGTGGTAATGTAGTATGTTGGGTACGTGGGCGCCCAACGGCAATAACAAACAGACATCACCCCCACGACGACGACGACGGCGCCTCGGTCGGGGTCTCTATATACATGTACACGTGTCCGGAAAATTCCGCTTTCCAAGCATTAATATATTTACGCCCGTGCGCGCGTGTGTACATGTTTGCTCGTTGATAGCTTCACACCAGGGGGTGCTTTCGTTGTATTGCTCGCGTCGTACTTACACCCATAATGTGAGAAAAGCTCGGGCGCACAACAGGACACACGATTTCCGACGCTCCTGCTCGCACGAGCTCTTTTATATTGATTAGTTCAAAGGCTATAAATCGACTGTGACAGCTATATACGAGCAGTCGACGCGAGATCGATACGTGCTTACTCACCTCGTTATCGTTGTTGTGTAAGTTTTTCTGGCAAATGTTACAGCCATAAGCATTACAAAATCCTCGATTCAGGAGGTAGGGAAAAAACCTTGTCTAGCAGCCACTGCAGCTAGTCTCGAAAGCGCAACAATGAGGGTTAAGCGAGCATTCAACTCGACCCTCTTTCCTTCCCATTCCTAAGTAATTGCGGCATTCCGCGAAAGCCTAAATCTTGCGCTCGGGCCGTCAAAGTGTTTGCAGCAGTGCAACTTGCCGGAAGGAATTAAAGCGGACGATTACCAATTTTTTTTTTTTTTTTTTCCTTCCTCTCGTTTCATCTTCCCTCCATGGGTCGCGGCAACCTCTGCTCTTCGTTCGACTCGTGACGGGCATGTGTGCTATTATATACACGTACACAAGAGCTCACGTTGCATCCTTCACGTATACCCATGATGAGCGCAACACCTGTTGGGCCAATTTTTCCGATCTAAGAAGCTTTCTCTCGTAACAAGAAGCAGTAACTAACGCTTCCTCTGTACGGTTTACCTCATAGAGTCTCGAAAGGATGTTCCCATCCACATTCCTACGCTGTATTCAATAAAACACCTAATCCAACGCAGAATGGGTCATGTATACATATACGCGAACCGCAGTGCACCCCAAAAACAGACTCGTATATACATATACTATATGGATGGCGTCTCAATTTGTTTTCAGTCAAAACGTACTCGTTTACACAAGCAGTACAGCGCGATAAATCTCGATCCCCTGCCTCCCCCTCTTTCTCACCTCTTCTCTGGAAAAACTGGGTCAGCCTCGTGTTAAATAGGCTCTTTTCACCGCCCGCACAGCAACATGGTACACGCGGATAAATCTCTCCCTCGATTCTCTCGCTCCGTGATTTTTTCATCCTTTAGCGGCTGCAGGCACACACAAGCTCTCTCTCTCTCTCTCTCTCTCTATAGCCGAACAGAAGCTATTTTTAGGCAACAGCAGTGGCAGCGGACCCATGGATCGGAGCACTGATCTGATGCTGTACACCGTTTTATGCGCCAGAGAGTGCGATGTACTTTGTACTAGCGGTCGATCGCACGGAATTAGGTGCCCTGTCAGTCTCGGCGTTTGAGAAAGAGGGAGTGAATGAAAACACCGCGGAGTGCATGCGGAGGTAATCATGGACATTTGTTTGGGGCTTATATATACATACACATAGAGTGGGAGCTTTGGGTACTCAAGATGGACCGGAAAAACGTGAAACGCGGCTCGAGTGGGTCAAGTTTATTTTATTTTACCCCATTTTTACGAGCTTCGTGTTGATTTGATTTCGAGAGAAGATCCATGTGGATGCACGATCGATCAATGGCAATTTCAACATCAGTAAGCTGGAGCGACGCTTTTTTTTTTTTTTAACACGATTTTATAAATAAAAAAGCTCCTTTCATCGCACACCGATCCACGTTTAAGCAAGAGAGCGACCAGCAGACCCCAAAAGGAGGTGCACTCCCTCGCATGCACCGAGCGCAGAAACTCTCGTTCTTTTGATCGATAGCATTCGGGTGAAAGCCGACAAAGCACATGAAAGCTCGCCCCCCCCCCTCCTCTGCCCGCTCGGTGTTTTTATACACAAGAAAGACACTGCGGGGAGCTCGAGTTTCACGGTCCCTCAGATGTGCTTTTGCGCGCACTGGAGCTCGATTTATTTATAAACGAGGGCTGTTTTTTTTTTTTTTTTCATTGGCCGAAGCGCTATTGCGTTTGATAATGCGTCCACGGGTGTGTATATGTAAACGCATGGCAAGGGGATATAAAAAGGGGCTTGACGCAAGGAGTGCCATTTTTTACTTGTTTTCACTTTGATTTTTGCAAACGATAAATGGCAGAGCTATTAGTACCCGTGAGCTCGATACCATCACGTGCCTAATGAAGCGCCAGGATCAGAGCTTGTTTCCACCCCCGTGGAAATAAATGAGCTCTCGATACCAGCTGCACAGTGTATACAGCAAAATCGCAATCGCGGCAAGGCAGCGCCTTATCATCGCTCCGACGAGCTTATCGGGAGAGAAGCCTGCAACAGTGCAGTAAGATGAAGGAGGAGAAGGAGGAGAAAAAGCACTCGGAACCCCTTATTTGTCCTTCCGCTCGACGCTCAATCGAAGAAAATCAAGCGACCGGCTGTAAAAGCGTATTTACTCGTGTTCCGGGGTGGAATGGCTCCGATTTTTTTTCTCGTCAAAATCGGTGCCAGGCATTTTTCTTCCTCCAAGCTAATTCGTTAAAATAGGGGATGGGGAAAAAGTAGGCGAATCAAAAATTCTCGGTTGAAAGAAGCAAGGAATGGTAACAGGTCAACTCCCCGGTGCTCCAGTTTTTTTCCTTTCGGACAGTCTCCCTTTGCGCGTTATCAAATATTGACGCGCGGTTAGGGGAAAAATGGTATCGCTCAAATGGGTCAGTGGCTCTCGATGGGACTAACGCATACGAGCTTCGCGTTAATTAAAAAAATACCTCCGAGCTGCAGTTTGCGTAAAATTTTATTGATTTAAGCGGTTGGGGCTCCTTTTTACCATTCTTCGTTCCATATATTTCTCAATTCCTGAGTGTATGAGGATTATCATTAAACGATACTTCTCGTAACTAGGCACCGATATTGGTGGATGTACTTGAAAAAAAAAATCCTTACCGTGAATTCCTCCCACTTCACATGCTTTTCAAGTACATATAAAAGTATACGAGACGATACTTTACAAAAAATATATTTTGCCTGAAAGTTTTTACGCGCACCGATCCGATGTCTTTATTTAACGTGACCCTTTGATCTTTGGCGTTTCAAGAGCAAAAGGATGTCCCCTTGCAGCGCTGCGTCGAATGCAAATGCGCGACGCCTCTACGCTCTTCAACACATATGGAACTTACTCCTTAATTCGTTTGGTTCTTGCATGCGTTTCGGTAATGAGTGTCATGAATAAAGATGTACAAAGTTGACGTTGAGAGAAAAAAAAAATACAATTTTTATTACCTTGCCAGCGTATAGGACAGTAAGCCCAAGGTAGAGGAAAAGAAGTGACTCACCTGAAACAAGAATCAATGACATTGCGTTGGTTAAAACAATAAATAAATAAATTACACATAAATTCATCAAAACAATAACTAACACGACATAAATACAAACGACAATAATTAAAATACAAACACCCGCTCAGTGAATTAGAGATCGCATTAACCAGAAAAAAAGGCCAGTCACAATATGGCATTCAGCAACTCATTGCTCATTAGTATAACGATATGCTCTCTCTCTCTCCGCCTCTTCTTTAACATATACAGCCCACTCGGTCGATCGAGTCTGTATATTATATACTCTTGATCGTCACATTCGCCCTTTGTGCGTCCTCCTCCCTCTTTTTTACAGAAAAAGACCTCTGCGCGTACGTATACCCGAGTATCCGTATTAAAGAGAAAAATATCGTCCAACTTGCCTCGCGATCGTAAACACTCATCCTTCTTCCTCGCGATAACCACTGCAGAAAGCTCGCCTTTCTCCTCCGACAAAGTTTTATCTTGCAATGAGCTCCGAAAATTTGTTGTCGCAGCAGTGCGGGACCAGTAACGTTCTTCTTTGCACTTTTTGGCCATACACAGCGTGTAATATGCCAGAGTTGTCGTGTCGATATAGTCTTGCACTTTTCGTACACAAGTACTTGCACTCCCACGCGCGAGCTCCAGACGCGGCGACGCCTTCGAGCATCGGGGAAAGCAAGAAAAGTTGGGAAAAAACATATAAAACTCGAGGCGATGAATTCACGTCTGGCGTGTATACGGATCGAGTGGCTTTTCACGTGGGAGTATCGCATCTGTTGACTTTTTTCGAAAATTTCGCGGATAGACGCGCAACACAGACAGGGCCAAGATAAATCGTGAGCGTGGGCGTGATGACGGATCACTGCAGTTGGGATCTGAATTCGATGTACGAGAATAATACGTGGGCATCGCCTGTTGTGAAGGATTGTGTGTGAGGGTCAAAGGGACGTTTCGCGCATCTATGCGTCAAAGAGTTGTACAAGTCAAATGGGACAACGGAGAAATCGTATAGGTAGATATTTAAGCACAATAGTTAAAAAAAATTTTTCCTACTCGATCGTGGAAATGAATTAAATTAATTAACGATAGAAAATTCTACAATTGTATAGTTGTAGGAAACGTGTGATTATTCTACGAGAATTTAATTCTTGTTGCTTTAATCTAGAAAATCGTCATGAAAACAGGGTATTTAGGTCGAGCTGAGAGGGTTTTGAACCTTTTTTTTATATACGGTTCACAGGACTATGACATCGTATTTTCTTTCCAAGGTAATCCACGAGTGATACAGCTCTCTGACAGGTCCACACGATTCAATAATCCTCCTCCGAAAAGTCGTAACGTCTACTTTGCATCCTCGCGTGTTTCACGAATTTATGTAATGCACGTATAACGCCCTTGGCTGCGTTATTACGACGAACCAAAGTCTGGCGTGCCGCCACAGACGCGTTTCGTATACGTATAAATAAAAGCTCCCAACAATGCCCAGCTAGCCCGTATACGTAAAACACAATGACGTCGCTCCTATCGGTCCTATTGTACACTATGTTTGGTTTCGATTGCAGGGACAAAGCTTCGATTTTTCTTTCCACCCCTTTCTCTTCCACGCCCACATACTCCGTCCACATACTTCCGTTTTGGGGTAAGGATATCTGTGTGGGATCGTTGCCAAACGACTAATTTCCATGCCACATCCAGACACATATATATTTCGTGTCTGTAAGTATATGTGGGGACACCCACGCCCAGTACTCGAATACGTGCGAGTAATTTGATACTCGAGGTGCATACTCGCGTAGTTGTGAGATTTTCAAAGGCTCGTTCACTCAGTCGGGATTGTCATTTTTGACGCATGTTTTACTTTCACGTGAATCCACACTTGACTCTGTCATTTGAATAATATTGAAACGTAGTTTACAGGTTTCATTGATATTCCATTATTCGTATCCATAAGCTAAAACCGTTATTACCCATGATTGATATAATCACGACTATTATTATAGTTAGCCCAATCATTTACATTATAATCATCTATTAGCATTTCATGTGCTGATGATGCCACGTATACGAATTCAATGATTTTAATGTAACAACGTTAATGTTACGAGAAGATGACCAATCCCAACTGCATATGAGTGATGATAGATACAGGCCCTCGTTCGGTATAGAAACGCTAAAAAATTAGAAGATTACTCGGTCCGAAGGTAAAAAGCGATAATGAGGCTTTTTGAAAGGTTGCACCGCCAAGCATGTACGGTAACGAGGGAATCTGGGCCACCACGAGCCACACTCGACAAGGACTTTCCTTCGGGTTTAACTCTTTTGCTCTTTCCATGGGCGAGAAGAGGAGTCCTTCAACGAGTCAATGGAGAGCGGCCAGAACGAGGCTTTTCATTTCTCTCGAGGGGCTTTCTCTCGCGCCCGCGAATTAGTTTTCGCGAGTCAGGTATATATGCATAAGTACAGTTCGAAGGAGTCATTTTGCATCCTCGTTAACGCGCGATTCACGTCATCTCTCGCTGGTGAACGTGTAGAGACCTTTCGTTTTAATTTTTCGATTCCCGTTTTACCGATGAAATCTCAGTTGTTATCGTGACTGTGAAATTTATTTTCCCCCGTGCCAAGAGGTAAAATTATCGCTCCGTTGGTGCAGCCTTCGCGAAACTTTCGACAAAATTTATTAGCCATGTCTGTCTAACACTTTGAGGGGGGGGGGGAATCAATGTTTTAAATGGGTACACGTGATGAGAATGAGTCATTGCGATTTAGAAGGTGATCGATGGCAAGCAGCTTCCGGTGAAGATCAACGTGCGACACCGTACATGATATGAGGCAGACTTTAATGAACGCCACCACTTCTCTGTGCTGTAACTGAGGAAAAAAGATGCTATTCTTCAACGCCTCCGCGGCACATTTCCCAGAGATGCTTCCTCTCTTGTCTCCTATACAACGCATTATTGTTCGGTGCGATGGCGAGTAGCTCTACGAATTATCACCACTTTAGATCTTTGTCGGATAAAATTTCTGCTGTTGCCTTCTTTTAATTGCTCTATCGATGATAAATATTTTTATTTCGGTGCAAGTGTGCAGGTACATGTACGTATTTAAAAAGAAAAATTGAGGAATAACCAGAAAAATTTACGAAGCTATTTCCATGGCGAGAAAAGAGTAATGACTCCGCGTTTGTGGATACCTCGCGGTGCGTGTTTTACATTCTTTTAGCTATTCTGTTGTCAATACAGAGTTTAAGCGCGGAAAAGTCTAATGAAAATTGATGACAGCTATTGAGAACAGAAAATATGTTCAGGTTCGCGCAGGTAGAGGCCATTGTTTAGTACACGCTGTAAAATATAGATAATTAGAGAATTTTCATTCGGTAAGGGTTCACTTTTTTTTTTGTTTTTAAGTAACTCTTCACTCGTTTCTGGGATCGAGTTGATTGTAAAAATCTTAAAAGCTGTCATGATCAAAAGGTAATGTGTGGTCGACATACAGGAAAAAATACAAAATGTGCACTTTCGTGTGATTTTTAACTCTTTTGAAGTATCCAATATCATCCAGAAAAATGATTGAAACAGTGTTTCATAAATCAATGCCCAACTAGAACGCCTACTCAAACAAACTTCGATCAGTGCGAAAAGTTTCCTCCTCAAAGCGCACAGATAGAACCGAGTTATTTCCATCCCACGGCAGTTGGAGAGAAAGAGCTGATGTTTGGCTTGATCTTCGCGAAAACTAAGTATGGAAAAAAAAAAAAAAAAAAAAAAAAAAAGGCTT